AGAAAGCGAGAAATCACCCCCCAGGGGGGATGGTCACGCCGCAATCCCTTCTCCTCCATTCTCCTCTCGGGATTTTGGGCATGCACGCACACGCGCCCTACGTGAGTTCTAAGCCACCGGGTCCAGGACACGAACCGCGGTCAACTACGTGGGAGTCCAGCGACATAGCCATTACACTAACTGCTGGTTCCCCCTTACTCTTCTTTTTAAAAAAGTTGTTTGGTACCAGCAGATGGCTTAATGATTGCGTTACTGGACTCCCACATAATTGACTGCTATTTGAGTCCCAGACCCAGTGGCTTAAACCTCATGCCGGGCACCTGTGCATGTGTGCCCAAAATCCCAAGAGGAGAATGGTGGAAAAGGGGTCATGGCATGGCCATCTCCCCAGGGAGTGATTTTTTGGTTTCTGTCTCCTGTCTCTCCCTGTTTCTATGGCAAATGGAGAAAAAAATCCTATAACAAAAACCTCTCAAAAATTGATTTAAATTACTTAATTTTATTTATTATTATTACTATTATTATTATTATTAGAGAGAGATTCCTGCTTTAGAGTGTGTGCACTTGCTGGAGAGAGAGAGAGAGACAGAAAGCAAGAACTCACCTACTGTGGGTATGGCCATACCATAATCCCTTCTCCTCTGTTTTCCTCTTGGGATTTTGGGCACTCATGCACATGCATCTGACAGGTCTAGGACTTGAATTGTGGTCGGCTATGTGGGAGTCCAGCGACATAACCATTATGCCATCTGCTGGTTCCACTGTCATTATGATTTTTTAATTTGCTATAGGACACGTGTGGGGGGGAGGTGAGAAGCACCTTTCTTACTCTGTTTCAGCCCCTTTCTTACTCTGTTTCTATAAAGTGACTTTTTCAGTTTTTAAATATGTAAATTACCTCTTTTCATATGTAGATATAGAGACTGGTTTTTTCCACATAGGAAAACCATATCATTTGTGCCTAACTTATTTCACTTAATATAATGTCTCCCCAGGCTTATCCAGTTGCCTCAAATGATAGGACTTCATTCTTTTTAGTGCCTGAATAGTCTTTCATTGTATATGTACTACATTTTCTGTGTCCATTCATCTGTTGACCACTTTCTTTACCATTCATCAGTTGCTTCCATGTCTGGGCTATTGAGAGGGGGCTACAATAAGTGTGGGAGTGAGGGACTGCAGTGAGCATGGGAGTGTAGGTATCTCTATGGCACACTGACTTCCTTTCCTTTAGATACATGCCTCAAAGTTGGACTGATGGGTCACATGGTACTTTGATTTGTAGTTTTTTTTTTTTTTTTTTTTTTTTTCCCATAAAATATGC